TCTCCAAACTGTCACAAACCTAACCTGAAACACTGCTCAGATATGCTTATTTATATATTCACTGGCACTCCGCTAACTGAGGACTTCTTTAACTCTCATCTAAAATATTACAAAGTCTCTTAACTGGTTTTCCTGGGGACAAGGTATGAAGACTGGCGTGTGGGAGTGGACACAAAGTATGAGGATCTTTATGTCACATATTAATACTACACTAGAGAACACCTACCAAAAAAGAGGCACAAAACAACCAAGTATACAGAATACTAACCAACCAAAATCATGTGGCTTCTGCCACTGTTACCTTAGTGCTGGCATAATGGACAAAGTAGCCATGGTGGCAGGCTCCAACAGTACAGGCTCCTTCTCACCAAGGCTGATCTAGCCAATTATTACAGCAGATTATCCAACCTGCCAGTAACAGAGACCAAAGCTAAGCCCCTAATATGGCACACTGCCTCAAAGAGATCAACCAGACACTTAGTACAAATTGATTACACTGAACCCTTTTCATTCTGGAAGGAAGTGATTCACCTGACAAGAATCAACACATATTAGTAGTATGGATTTGCCTTAGCATCACTTCCTGAGAGCTAACAACATTTCAGGTCCACTTTATATCCTATGTAACATTACCTCAGACCAAGGGATCCTCTTTATAGCAAAGGATATAAGCAAAGACCATGGGATCCACCGGTCCTATCACATACTGCAACATTCAGAAGCTGCCAGCCTAAGAGCAATGGAAGAGCATTCTAAAGGCATGACTGAAGCACTCCTTTGGAGATACCACGTGGATAGTATCCACCCTCCTCCAAGATGCAGTTAAACTCTAAATCAATAACCATTATATATGCTGCTGCATCTGTAATAAGTAAAATACATACAGCCATGAAACAAAGTGGGGGGGAAGTAGGAATGGCCTCACTTGCCATCATTCCCAGTGACCCATTTAGCAATTTATATGTCCCTTCCCAGCAATGCTAGGTTCTATGAACCTACAGGTCCTGTTCCTGTTCTTATCAAGGGACACAGCCCATTAAACTTTAAGTTACAACTGCCACCTGGTCACTTCAATCACCTTGGGCCAAGAGATCAGAGGGCAAGGAAAGAAGTCACCAATCTGGGAGGAGTAACTAACTTTAGTCATCAGGAAGAGATAGGACTTCTATATTTTTATCAGCCAGGGAAATATATTTTTATCACCTAGATGATAAACATGTTTGTCATAAGAAGAATATATATGAAAGGTGTCTCTTCATACTCCTTTGCCTAATTTTGACAACAAATGGATGAATACAACAGCCACAGTCTGGAGACTATGGTTAGCATGATGACTAGGCCTCAGAACCTCTCAGATATAAGGGACTCAATGACCTCAGGTAATCTGCCTAGACCAGCAGAGGTATAAGTCAAAGGTAAGGGGAAATCTAGAATTGGTATCAAAGGATATAATGAATTATTAGCTGTGGCCCCAAGACCAGAGGTATCAAGAAAAACTGGAGTTAAGGAGTTAAGTCCTACTTACCTACCACTCCTATTTCCAGAAACAGATCAACCATAATCCTAGAGGAGCTATTCCCAGATGGGATAAACTTATCATAGGAAGCAAACAGATGATAATGGAAATTGTCAGGATGCACTATCCAGGACTTTCTTAAGGACCAAGGCACTCTTCCCCAGGTACGAAAATACTGTATGCAGCAGCTCACAACTGGCATCTCCCCAGGAACTGTCCTCGATTGAAGGGAGCTTCCTCACCTGAGGGTATGCCCCCTTTCCAGAGGAAGCCCACATCAAATAAATGGACCATGAGAGGTACAAGAGTCAGCCCCCTTGCCTCAATTCAGAAGAACTCTGAAGAGCCATCTCAGGTCCAGAGTTCCACATTTAGAAGATGAACTGCATCACAGTTCAACTTCTCTCTCTCTTCCAATCCTGCCTTATTCACTCCCTTACGGGTGTGAATTTTTCCCAAAGTACTCCCCAGTAGTACTCCTCTGCATGCACTCTATTTGACATGTTTCCATTCATCTTTGAGCAACTCCTTGCTTCCTGGCATGTTAAAACAATGCAGGCTCACCTTCTACTTTTCCTGCCCTGGAATTAGTCATTTCTAAAGAAGTAGTACTCCTGAATTAGAAGAAAAAGACTGTAAGAGAAATTGGTGAATCTAGTTAAAAGCCTTTCAAATTTGTATTTGAAAAATCTTCAAATTGAAGGCTGGAGAAATCTGAATGCTTCTTTAGAACTTACAGTAAGCATTTTGCATTTGTCATTATTCAATGAGATTGAACCATGTATATACTGTCAACTTTACTGCTTACCACTATTTCCTTTCTTTTTTATCTTCTCATATCCTACAGTTACTATTCACTTTTGTTAGAGTATTTTCTCAAGAATTCTCTAATCTCTGAACCTTGCACATCTGTTAAATATCTTTCTCCCTGACACGTAATTGACAGTTTAGCCTACTATAGGATTCATGGGGTATAATTCTCTCACTATTCCATTCATATTATCCTATCAGCTTCTATTCTCCAAAGCTGCATACAGGAAACTCAATCTCAGTCTGAATTTTTCCTTTGCAAGTAACATGTTTTTTTTTTTTAATCTAGAATCCAATAAGATTTTATCATTATTCTTGGAGTTTGAAAATTTTATAGGCATATAACTAATAATCAGTTTTTCTCATTAGCGCTAATTAAAACTCAGGTTGGGGTGAGGAAATGGGGTACCCCTCAAGATGCAAACTTAGGTCTTTCTTCTGATACAAGGTCTATTTTCTCTCTCTCTTTTTTTTTTTTTTTTAGTTTTTTAGTTTTTGTGGAACTCCTAATATTGTATCTCTTGGATCTATCAAGTCTGTCTTCTCTCATTATTTCCTTTTATTTAGGTTTTTGGGGATTTTATTAACAGTTACACCTGTGCATCATTTAAAACTATAAGACTTGTTACAGAAAACATCAGGCCCCACACATTTCAAATCCCTCATGTTCTCTAAAATTTGTGTAAATCTTTTCTCAATACACGCAAACCCATTAGGTATTTTACTAATTTCATCTTCTTAAAGAAGTCTCTCCTTGAGTTTTCTGACCTGTTTCAGTCTAAATTGGTTTATTTTCAGGCCTGCTGCACAGCTGTCATTTGGTATCTATCTTCACCAACACTCAGTAAATTCTTTTGCCTCTATTTCTGTTAGATCCTATCTTAAATTTTGTTTTCTTCTCCCTTGGCTTACATCATTATTTTGATAATGCACAAGTTCCAGTAATTTCCACAGAAACAGTATATGAAAATTGAGTCTTTAAGTCAATGTCTTTGTCCTAATTCATTTTTTTTTTTTTTGGTATGTATTTGTTCTTAGTTTTTAGATATTTCTTCCTCTTGATTTTTCCAACCCACTAATTCAGGCACACCACCACCCACTATCAGGGTAAATCAGAAATCATCAGAGCTGCCACTGCCATCACAGGCCCAGAGTGCAAGAACTCAGGGGACAGAATGGCTTCAAAGGGTGAGGCTGCCTCTTTCTTACAGCAGTCTAAACTAAAACAATATGCAATCTTACTTCACTCAATGAGAGAATTTACATTTTAATTTGTTCATAGTTTTATAAAAATTTCCATAAAGCAAACTATAACAAATATTTAAAAGTAAGTATATTACAGGCCATAGTCATTGATCATAGTTCAATAATGCTAGAAATAATTTTTAAATGGTTTGAAATATCTTAAGACTTGAAAATTAACTGTTGATCAAAGAGAAAAAATCACAAACTCCCTAGAAACTAATGAAAAGGTAAGTACATAAAAATGTACGGAACACAGCAAAAGCCATACTTAGATAAAAATTTATGTCCCTAAACCCTTTCATTATGAAGACAAATGACTACAACTACAGGTATGTTATATTTATCTTAAGGTTTAAAAAAAAAAAAGCACAAAATTAACCAAGAGAAAATATAAAGAGTGAATGAATAAAAATAAGATATAATTGGTGATACAGAGAAAAAGTAGGAGAATTGATAATTCCGAAAGATGTTTTTTTAACTGCCTAAAGATATAAAGCAAAACAAATATTAGCAAGACTAGGAATAGAAGAAATGTATGATTTCCTAGAAAATACAAATAGCCCAAATTAAACCAAGTAGAAAAGTCAAACTGACTAATTACCAATGAAGAGACTGGAAAGGTGACCACTATTTTTTTAATTAATTAGTTTATTTATAAAGATTTTATTTATTTATTTGAGAGAGAGAAAGAGACAGGTGCAGCACACACCCAAGCTCTGGGAAGAGCAGAGGGAGAGGGACAAGCAGGCTCCAAGCTGAGCACAGAGCCTGATGTGGGGGCTCAATCCCATGATCCGAGATCATGACCTGAGCCAAAATCAAGAGTCCGACGGTAAACTAAGCCACCCGGTGACTATTATTATTATTATTTTTTAGAAACAGGGATCCCTTTTTACACCATTTTAAAAGCTATTTTTTTAATTAACATATACTGTATTATTTGTTTCAGGGGTACAGGTCTGTGATTCATGAGTCTTACACAACACCCAGAGCGTGACAACACATACTCTCCCCAATGTCCATCACCCAGCCACCCCATCCCTCCCATCCCCCTCCACTCCAGCAACCCTCAATCTGTTTCCTGAGATTAAGAGTCTCTTATGGTTTGTTTCCCCCTCTGGTTTCGTCTTGTTTCATTTTTCCCTCCCTTCCCCTATTATTTTATTTTATTTATTTAGCTTAAAGATTTTATTTATTTGAGAGAGAGAGAATGAGAGAGAGCACGAGAGGGAAGAGGGTCAGAGGGAGAAGCAGACTCCCCGCTGAGCAGGGAGCCCGATGTGGGACTCGATCCCGGGACTCCAGGATCATGACCTGAGCCGAAGGCAGTCGCTTAACCAACTGAGCCACCCAGGCACCCTCCCCTATTATTTTAAATAACACACCCAAAAAACCTTTAAATCTGAGTTCTAACAATTAAGGAACAAATAATTACAATGTTATTTAAATTATTCCATACCAAATAAAAGATGAAATGTTTCCCAATTCATTTCATGAAACCAGCAAAACCTTATTACCAAAACTTAATTAAAAAACAAACTCTGAAACTATATACCTTCCTAATTATTTCAGTTACTATGGCTATATGAAAAAAAATAACCCTAATACTTACTGACCAAAACACCACTTACTTTGCTCATGAATCTGCAATTTAAACAGGCCTCAGAGGAGATAGTTTGTCTCTGCTCTACTTAGGATCAACTGGGGTGGCTCAAAGGCTGGGGACTAAAATTAAATAAAGGCTCATTCACTAACACATCCAGTGGCTGATGCAGTCAGATGAAATCTTGGCTGGTTTCACATAGCTTCTGTATGTGGCCTCTGTATGTGGCCTAGGCTTCCTTACACTATGGTGGCTAGGTTCCAAAGGTAAGCATCTTTTTTTTTTTTATGTTTGTTAATCACCATATATTACATCATTAGTTTTTGATGTAGTGTTCCATGATTCATTGTTTGCGTATAACACCCAGTGCTCCATGCAGTACGTGCCCTCTTTAATAGCCATCACCAGGCTAACCCATCCCCCTACCCGCCTCACCTCTAGAACCCTCAGTTTGTTTCTCCGAGTCCATAGTCTCTCATGGTTCGTCTCCCGAGAGAGCCAGCCAGAAACAGTACCACCTTTTATGACCTAGCCTTGTCAGTCATACAGTATCAGCTCCTCCACATTCTATTAATCAGTTCGAAGGCCAGCCCAGGTTCAAGAGGAGAGGAAATAAACTCAGCTTCTAAGTGGCATGGTTCTAGAAGAACATGTACGACCACAAATATTGTTGAAACCAATTTTCAAAAATACTATATGCTACAGTCCACCTTCTGGTCACAGCAGTTCACATCCCTCCACATGCAAAAAAATATATACTTGTTCTCTCCCCCAATACCCACAACGATCAGGCTCAGGCTTGAGATCCAGGTATGGATGAACTTCTTGGGTACAGTTCCTTAAATATAGCTCCTTGAGTACAGTTCCTCTTGATCTGAAGAGCTATAAACAAAAAAGATAAGTTATCTTTTCTCCACAAACATGAATACACAGTGATGGAGCAGGCATAGGTCCATTAAAAGTTTAAAACCCAGCTGGGCATATGCTGCTAGTTCCTCAACTAAGGAATGAACCGTGTGGCTCATGTCTCCCCATTCTGGGCTGTAGGTTTCATGGTAATTAGCCATGTGCTTGGCACATTTCTTGACGTACAACTTTGAGATCCAAAGGCCTTTTTTTCATTTTGTATTGTCTCTGTGCCTTTCAGTCTAAATTGATATAATCCTTTTAAAAACTATGTGGATCATGAGAATGAGAAAACAAGCCATAGACTCAGAGAAAATATTTGCAAAGACTCATCTGATAAAGGATTATTACCTAAAATACACAAAGAATTCTTAAAACTCAACAGTAAGACAATGAACAACCAGATTAAAAACTGGGCAAAAGAGCTGCATAAAGACCTACCAAAGAAGATATACAGATGGCAAATAAGCACATAAAAAGATGCTAAACATCATATGTTATTAGGAAAATGTAACTACTATGCACCTACTAGAATAGCCAAAATCCAGAAAACTAACAACACTGAATGCTGGTGAGGATATGAAGTAACAGGAAATCTCATTCATTGCTGGTGGAAATGGAAGATGGTACAGAAACTTTGGAAGGCAATTTGGCAGTTTCTTGCAAAACTAAATAGACTCTTATAATACAATACAGCCATCACACTCCTTGGTATTAACCTAAAAGGCTTGAAAACTTATGTCCACACAAAAACCTGCACACAGTTTATAGAAGCTTTATTCATAACTGCCAAACCTTGGGAACAACCAAGAGGTCTTCAGGAGGTGAATGGATAAACCATGTAGACAATAGAATATTACTCAGTGTTTAAAAGAAATGTCCCGGCGCCTGGGTGGCTCAGTTGGTTAAGCGACTGCCTTTGGCTCAGGTCATGATCCTGGAGTCCTGGGATCGAGTCCCACATCGGGCTCCCTGCTCAGCAGGGAGTCTGCTTCTCCCTCTGACCCTCTTCCTCTCGTGCTCTCTATCTCTCATTTTCTCTCTCTCAAATAAAAAAATAAAATCTTTAAAAAGAAATAAATGTCCCACATCAGGCTCCCGGCTCAGCGGGGAGTCTGCTTCTCCCTCTGACCTCCCCTCTCATGCTGTTTCTCTCTCTCTCTCAAATAAATAAATAAAATCTTTAAAAAAAATAAAGATAAAATACTTTAAAAATAAATAAATAAATAAAAGAAATGAGCTATCAAACCATGAAAAGACAGGGAAGAACTTTAAATGCATATTATTACTAAGTGAAGGCAGCCAATCTGACAAGGCTATTAATATTGTATGACTACAACTGTATGACACTCTAAAATAGGCAAAACTATGCAAAGAGTAAAGATTAGTTTGTCAGGGGCTGGGGGGAGGACTGGATGAATAAGCAGAGCATAGAAGATTTTTAGGGCAGTAAGAATATTCTGTATAATACTATAATGGTGGATGTATGTCATTATACATTTGTCCAAGCCCACAGAACATACACCAAGAGTGAATCCTGTTGTAAACTATGGGCCAGGAGTGATAAAGATGTGTCAATGCAGGCTCATTGATTTTAACAAATGTACCATACCAGTGTATGAGAGGGACAGAGAATATGGGAACTCTGTGCTTTCTGCTCAGTTTTGTTCTGAACCTAAAACTGCTCTAAAAAGTCTTTTTTTTTTAAACCATATGGATTTCTTATGAATCAATTCATAATCCACTCCATTAGAAAAAAGCCACACCCATAAATTTCAAAATAACTCCTTGAGCTTCCTATAAGGTCCTGAGGGACAGTGCTCTTAAAATTCTTAGAGAAACTTTTAATAAAGAAGATCTATGAAGCACTGCAGGTCCTCGGGTCCTTAAAGAGAATACTGTCTTTGTGAAGCATGACATTAAATTTCCTGAAGCCTCAAAAGAGAGTTTTATAATCACTCCCTTGGCTTCATTGTTAAATGACAATACTCTAGATTTGATCTCTTTCTGACAATACTCTAGATTTGATCTCTTTTCATTAGACTTTTCTTTTTTCTTTTTAAGTTTTTTTTTTCTTAATTTGAGAATTGTCTGCCATCTGGAGAAACTAGAAAAGAGAGTTTTATTTTTGAACTCAGTAAGTTCTGGTTCCTTTATATTTAACAATTCTCTCCTCAGTTTTTCTTACTCCAATCAGACTACTTTAACAAAATGCCAGAGTGGCTTATAAACAACGAAAATTTATTTCTCACAGTTCTGAAGGCTAGAAGCCCAAGATCAGGGTGCCAAAATGGTTGGGTTCTGGTGAAGACCCTCTTTTACATTGCAAACTGCCAAACTGTCACTGTTTTCTCTCATGGTGGAAGGGGCCTGTCAGCTTTGTGGGGTCTCTTTTATAAAAGCACTTTTATGAGGGCTCCAGCCTCATGACCCTAAGCACCTCCCCAAAGGCCCCAACTGCTAATATCATCACATGGGCATTAACATTTAACCTAAGAATTTTGGAGGACATAACCATTCATACCATAATATTCTCTTCTATCATATTTTACTACAAGCAGCAAGAAAAAGCCAGAAAATACCCCCTGGAAATACCTTTATCATGCAATTCATTGTCATCATGCAAACCATTTCCTATTTTCCACATTACCATAGGTGACAATGTTGCTGAACTTTCTGCTATTACATATCAAGGATCTTTTCACTAACTTCAAATTATATTTTTTCACTTTCCTTTAAACCTTCACTTACTTCCTCAAGGGCTATCAGGTTTCCACCAACAATCTTTTCAAAACCCTCCCATCTTCCACCCACTGTCTAGTCCTAGTTTGGTTTCAGCTACTGCTATATTTTTAGGTTTCTGTTACATGGCACCCCACTTCCAAATACCAGAATTATTTCAATTTCTATAACTGCATAACAAATTACCCCAAAATTTAGGGGTTTAAAAGAATATTATTTATTTTGTTCAAGAATCTGCAGTTTGGGCAGGGCTTTCTGCTCCACTCAAAGGAGATATAAACAACAACAAAGAATTATAGATGCTTATAACAGATGTTAGTATATATATGAGGGGCACAAAGGATTAGTGGTTAATTCCTTCTGGGAAATCACAGAAAAAATAACACTGAGCCAAAGTTGGGTGCTGACATGAAGAGGAGAAGGAATATAAAACAAGGGATCACATACAAAAAAACTGTAAGTGTACTGATACAAATAAGTCGATTGAGGAAAGAGAGCAGAAAGGAAAGAACTAGTAAGAGGTGAGGCTAACAAGGAAGGCTGGGAACAGACAATGTTTTTATAGGAGTAAGCAAGAGGCCTGGGATCAAATCAGCTCTAACACTACCAGAAGCTACACCATGGAGAGCAGCTGCTACTGGGAACTATTGGGAACTGTGAAGAACGGCAGCTGTTAAAGAAAGGCCCCTAAGTTATAAGAAAGAATGCCAGGAAGTGCTGTCATGGAGAGAGGTTGTCAAAAGATACCACTTTAGTGGTACCTGATAGAAAAGCTACCAGGAAGAAAAGCAAGAAATGTCTTCAGCTCAACAGCCACAAGGTCAGGCTGGGGTTCCCTATGCATTCTGTATCTCTAATACAAACACCCAACTTTTCCTTAGAGAGAAAGAAGGCTCCTCCCGCTATCTACTTAATAGGCAGAGGTAGTAGTGACTATGAGAATTTCAATACAATTTCTCTCCAAAAAGTCAACAGAAACTCAATGAGGCCTGCAGTTATTTATACAGACTGGATTACTCTCTTAGGTTCATGATGAAAAGCATAAACCTGGAAAAGAAGGTGGTATTTCTCTCTCCCTCTCTTCCCTTTCTCTCTGTCTCTCCATGTACACACATGAATCTCTTTTTAACCTATTAGATTTCTTTTTTTTAATAGGAACTCTGTGCTATTTTATTTTTTTTCATAACCACACATTAATAGCTTACTTCAAAGCCACCAGAAGCCAATAGCATGAACCTTAAACTAAATCCTGGCCGTCTAGTACATGTTTTCTCTTAAAAGTGAAGTTTTTATTTGGCAGTGGCACTTTTTGGAATAGAAGTGAGACCAACATTTAAGAAAAGATTATTACTCTATAAAATAAACACTACCTTAGTGAGTCTTCCTTTCCAGACAGATACAAAATCTAACTGCACTCCCCGTGCCTAAAGGAGTCATGATAGCAACAGAAGATCCTGTCAGTTCTTATAGCTCAAGTGGACAAGAATTATAGTGGAAACTTCAAACAGAATCACTGGTGCAACAACTGTAGCCACTAAGATAAGGATTTCAAGTAGATATGTATAGAGAATGGAAGCAGGAAAAATTGTCTCACGTTAAACTGACAAACCAGAGCACTACTCCCCGTAACCTAAACCTCACTTATACTTAAAAACAAGCTTATACAAAACTTACATAGAATCTAATCAGATAAAAAAAAAATTTTCTTTTTTTTAAGATCTGGATTCAGGCAGCTGTAGCAGAAGTTGCTGGATCTCTATTTTACCGTTTCAATACAGATATGACTAAATTATTTATGTGTTTTTCTGATTTCTGCTCCTGTAACCAATAGCCTATATTGTTGTACTTCTGTTAAAAAAAAAATCACCCTCAACGAAGTAGAGATAGAGGATACATAGCTCAACATCATAAAGGCCATATACGAAAGACCCACAGCTCCACAGCTAACATCACCCTCAAAGGGGGCAAACCTGAGAGCTTTTCCTCTATGGTCAGGAACAAGACAGGGATGTTTTCACTCTCACCATTACTATTTAACATACACTAGAAGTCCTAGCCTCAGCAATCAGACAACAATAAAAGGCATCCGAATCAGCAAGGAAGAAGTCAAACTTTCACTATTCACAGATGACATGATACTCTACGTAGAAAATCCAGAAGATTCCACCAAAAAATTGATAGAACTGATACACAAATTTAGCAGAGTCACAGGATATAAAATTAATGTACAGATT